TATGGAAATTACCCTAAATTAAATAAGCTGGAGACATGCTATATGAGTCCATTTTGTGAAGTTCTAGAAAATGCAAAATAAACATATGATGAAAACAATCAGAACAGCAGGTGTCTTTAGGTGAGGGGCAGGAACTGCTAGGAAGGGCGTGTGAGGGAACTTTCTAGGGTGTCATAAATGTTCTATATCTTGATAAGGGAATGTTTATGGGGAGATATGCATCCATTTGTCAAAACAGTACAGTTAAGGTATGTACATTTCCAAGTATGTACATTTCACCTCAAAAAGAGTACTATAAAAAAAAATGCCATGTAGTAAAATGAGGTATGGATGAAACAACAATGGCAGGATCTGGACCACTGTTAAAGCTGGGTGACAGGTCTAGGCTTTTATTACACTCTGTTTACTTTCCATATATCTAACATTTTACAAAATAAAAAGTTTAAAAATTTTATCACTAGAATGTACAATCAAAAATTTGTAGACCACGAAAATATACCTCTCAAGAAGCTTTCTCTGATATGCAAAAGACATTTCTAAAGATCCACGGAGACCCCCTGTGTCTGCTTCGCATGGAGAATTTAAATGGGGCTCATTATTTTTCCCAGCTCCCCTTGGCTCCACCCCCAGCAAACCTCACATCAATGGGCCATTAGAATGAATTTGATGATATGGTTGTCTCAGTTACCACCAGCCCCCAAATTAATTCTCTGGTCTCTCAAATATTTATTTCTAACAAATATTGGTGCAGAAATCAGAGGTGCTGCATACACTGGAGAAAACAACTGATTTGATATATTTCAACCTTGGACTTTCTCTATCCTCCCTATTCTCTAAAGATGTTTTTGCAACTTAGTGAGAAAATGAAAATGTGCTGTTAATCCTGATTTTTAGAAAATTTTACATTTTTTTAACCTCATTTTCTTGTTTCTCAGCAAGACAAAGAGACATAAATTTTAAGAATCCAGAGAATACCAACCAAGGTCAATGGTCGATTTCTCTACTATGGACTGATAAGACTTAGTCGGGTACTAGTCACTGAGTGCGTCGTAATAGTTTTCTTAGTTTTGCCTAAGAAAAGTTCTACAGGTTTTCATGACTTGTCCAAAGAATCAGAAGCACCAAAAACGGCCAAAGAATGAACCTAGGCTCAATCATAGCTGTTTAAAGTATAATATGTCAATACCCTCCTAGGTCATAAGAGGATTATAAACGCACCTAGGTAAAGAATCTTCTAGACAGAACCTAATAAGTGGGCTCAAATACTGTTATCAATCAGTTTTCAATAGTCAGCATAATAAAAACACTGAAATTAGCTAAAATTTAAGATCCAAAATTTACATACATTATAACCTTTATTTACAAATCTTCCTACATAACATTCCTTTATTTTTATACATCCTCTGCTAAATTCCAACAGAGAATTTCTCCAATGGAGAATAGCAAATACTCAAAGTGAAAATGATCCTTGATGCCAGCAGATTCATTCATTCATCATCCAACAAGCGGTTGACTATTTATGGGTACAAGGAGGTCTTCTAAGTACTACAAATATGGCATTGAATAAAATGAAGTCCATGCCTTCATAGAGCTTACTTTCTAACAAGGAGAAACAGGCTCATAAGAAGGGCTTAGGCCGGGCGCTGTGGCTCACGCCTGTAATCCTAGCTCTTGGGAGGCCGAGGCAGGCAGATTGCTCAAGGTCAGGAGTTCGAAACCAGCCTGAGCAAGAGCGAGACCCCGTCTCTACTATAAATAGAAAGAAATTAATTGGCCAACTGATATATATATAAAAAAAAAAAAAAAATTAGCCGGGCATGGTGGCGCATGCCTGTAGTCCCAGCTACCCGGGAGGCTGAGGCAGAAGGATCACTCGAGCCCAGGAGTTTGAGGTTGCTGTGAGCTAGGCTGACGCCACGGCACTCACTCTAGCCCGGGCAACAAAGCGAGACTCTGTCTCAAAAAAAAAAAAAAAAAAAAAAAGAAGGGCTTAGGATAAAAAGTACCATGGAGGAGAATGAATCAGGGTAAGGGCAAATAGGTGTGCAAATTACTATTTAATATACCTGGTAAGGAAAAGCCTCTCAGTCACAGTGACATTTGAGCAAATCTGAAGAATGTGAGGTTCCAGAAGTCCAGACAAAGAAAATGGCAAGTGTGAAGGCCAAGTACCAGAACCCCCTTGCAAACTCAAGAAACAGAGAGCCAGGCAGCAGGAGATGGGAGAGGGGATAAAAGGATCTGGACCTCCATAGGCCATTTTCAAGATCTGGGACATTTAGTGAGAGAGATGGGAAGCCATTGGAGAACTAGGAGCAGAAATTATCCTATTTAATGTTTTTAAAAAGATCACTAGCTGTGTGAGAAGAATAGATCACAGTGGGGGAAAGGTTGAAACAGGAAGTCCAGTTCAACATAGAGATCACAATTAATTCAAAGGAATATTTTAACTTCATTTGTTTATAGGCTGTATTTTGTTATAAAACTTGATATTCCAGACTGGGCATGGTGGCTCACACCTGTAATCCTAACACTCTGGGAGGCTGAGGCAGGTGGATTGCTGGAAATCAGGAGTTTCGAAATCAGCCTGAGCAAGAGCAAGACCCCGTCTCTATTATAAATAGAAAGAAATTAATTGGCCAACTAACATATATATAGAAAAAATTAGCTGGGCATGGTGGTGCAAGCCTGTAGTCCCAGCTACTCGGGAGGCTGAGGCAAGAGGATCGCTTGAGCCCAGGAGTTTGAGGTTGCTGTGAGCTAGGCTGATGCCACGGCACTCACTCTAGCCTGGGCAACAAAGTGAGACTCTGTCTCAAAAAAAAAAAAAAAAGAAAAGAAAAACTTGATATTCCAATAATTAAAACAGCAGGCAATTGAATCTACTCTCTTGTTTACCACTGGCTTGGGGGATAGAGTTTTTGAGGAAGAAGAGTCCCCGTACGTTACTTTTTAGGCTCTAGTTTGATCTATTAGCTAGCAGTTCCTTTATCTTAATTAATCTAATAGATAAATAAGACAAAAGCTGCTAGTTTCCCAATCATCCTTTTCAAAATATTCCCTTACAATTACCCAAAAACAAATATTTTAATTTGCATGCTGTATACAAAAGGTTTCTATTATTGTAATTATTCATAACCCTCATCACAACATATATATATATCACAGTAGTCAAAACCCATTTAAAATCCCTGAAAAATTAAAATAAAAAATGTATTGCAAACCATAAAACCCATCAACACTCTCCCAAACTTCTGTTTAGTAATCTGTGAAATCTCTCTTGTAATGAAGACACTAAGTCTCCTATCTTCAATTTCCTTAAGTTTAGTGAATAGCATGTGTAACAGCCATCTCGCACTGTTGTTATCACTTTCTCTTATTAAAAGCTAGGTAGGAAAACCAAAACGCACTGCAAACCTTTCAGGACTTTTAGCCACACTGAAGTGTTATTAATTGGTTTAACCCTTTGCAATCAGATGTCGAATGTGACTTGACACGTTTAGCAAAAATTATAGAGATTAAAATTACTCTTTGAATGTATCAATAATTTGAAATATAAAAAAATCCAAATAAATAAGTTTGTATGAAAAGAAACTCCAGTTTTTTATTCTACTGCCACACTTTGTAAAATCCGGGGTATTTAAAAAATTAAATCCCAAGTAGAATAAAGGAATCGAGAAAAAAGCAAGCGAGTGCAAAGGGTTTAAGAGGGTGTCAGAAACACATGCTTTCCTGCACACTTTGGTGATTTCACCCCATGCTCAGAGCACTCTGATAAATTAAATCATCCTGGCTGTGTCATGAATCGCAGCTGGCATGCCTGAGTACTGCTCTTCAATGATGAGCAAGCAATACAAAATAAGACGATGATTCCACTCTTTAAATCTCATTTTCAGCATCTTGTATAATGTCACCAGGCAGAATATTTTTTAAAAAAACAAACGTTATAATATAATTCACTTTGGTTTCCCAAAACCTAAGCCCATATGCCAGAAAATTAATGGCTTTTTTTCTTTCCAAACACCAGACAGCATCTACAGCCAGGAAGGGAACTGGGTTGGGAGGTAGGGAGAGGCTACTTAGATGGATAATCCAGCTCTTTGCTTACTGATGGAGCTATAATGGGGGTGGGGGGAAGACAAGAGAGGAGCTGGGGAACTGTTACATCCACATCCACTACAGAGGTATTTCTTCACTCTCACTGAATGGCGTGAAGAATCTGCCTCATTTAAGTTCTTACTAACAAGTAAGGAGATTCCCCTCTCTGGGGATAGGCTTCTGCTATAATAATATCACTGCAGACTTTATCTGTCCCCCTCTCTTTTTCCCTTTCCTTCAATTACAAACTATTTCATTTTGTTTTGCTTGGTCTTATTGTAATGAAGCCATTCTTTAAGATCAACCCTTAAACCTTTCCTGGGATAAGGAGAGAGAGAAATAAATAATAAATCAAGATTTCTTTCTCCATGGCTAAATTTAAATACAGCAGGCGAGGAGAAATGGTGAAAAGGGGTGTGTGGGTGTCTATGGCAAGATTTCTCGGTCTCTAGGAGAGAAAAGGATAGAGAACAACATGCTAAAGGGATAGAGGAGGGAGTGAGTGTGTGTGTGTGAGTGTGAGTGTGAGTGTGAGTGTGAGTGTGTGTGTGTGTGTGTGTGTGTGTGTGTGTGTACAGTCATTCCCAAGGCAGAGGGAAGGATTCAGGAAGAAGGAAGGAAGAAAAAAAAAAAAGATAATCAATCCCGGCAGTCACCCATCCCCAGCGCTGGCGACCCCTCTCCAACCCACCGCAGTGCTCCGAGCTTCCCAGAAAGCTCATTACCAAAGGGCAGATTCCCGGCACCAGAGCAAGGGACCAAAGGCTGGGCAGGCAGCCTGGGGAGCTCGGGAGGGATAGGGATGAGGATGGAGATGGCTAGGGAAGGGGCGAGGAGGCCAGCGAGGCCATCTGCGATCGCCTGCCGAGGAGGAAAGGCAGGGCCGGGCAGCCGGGACCTACCTGGAACAGTCACGGTGGAGGATGCCCCAGGCACCTCTGGCCTCTCCTCCTCAGCCTCCTCCCGCTGCTTTTGCTGCTGCTGCTGCTGCTGCTGGATGAGGCTGAGGTCGGAGCGGCTCAGTTCGGCTCTGGCGGCCGCGGGGACCAGCCGCGCCTTCAGGAGCACGGCGGCCAGGCCGAGGAGCAGGGTGCACGGGACGCGCCGGCAGAGCCTCGCCATGGCCGAGAGCCAGCGGGCCGCGGCGGCATATTGCGGGGCTCCGGGCGGCGGCGGGCGCCAGGGCTGCGGGCTCCCGGCAGCGCCCGCTCGCTCGCTCCCCCTCGCGCCGTCTGCCAAGCACGCCCTCCCCGGGAGGAGGAGGAGGAGGAGGAGGGCCGGGAGGCGGAGGGGGCGGAGGAGGAGAGGCGGGGGGAGTGTGCATCCCCGCGCACGTGACGCGCGGGGCGGGGCGAGCCGGGTGCCGCCGCCCCGCGCCTCGCTGTCACCCGTCACCCGCCGCCCCGCTGCTCCCAGAGGACGCGGCTGCTGGGGCGCCGCGTTGGGCAAACAGGAAAGGGGAGGCTTTCTGGGCGCTGGTAGACCTTCACACCCTCCAGCCCCTACCGAGACACGCACGGGGAAAATTGCAAAAAGTGGAATAAAATTCCCGCCACCTGACCCCTAAGTAGGAGAGCAGGTGGCATATTAATTACCCTCATTAATTACCCACAACACTTAACGTGGCACCAACAGATGAAAATGCCAGGGTCTCTTAACGAAATAGTCTTGGCTGCATCGCCGGCCATCATTGCTTAGCTAGAAAATCTGCGGCTGTCTAGATTTTAACTAAACTTCCCTTTTCTGCCCAAGTGGGAATTTCTTTCTATATTATAAAATATTCTTAATTACATTTTGTCTAATTATAGCCTACACTTTTCATCTGTTGGAAAAATACCTTACTAATTACTAGGTGCTTACCACGTGCCAGCATTTAGTCGGGGGCTTGGAAAAAGTAAAACATAATCCTTGCATTCCAAGAGCTCACCACCTGTTAGGGGAGAGGAACATACAAACATTATAATCCAGTGAGGTGGTTGCAACTGGTAAAGCATTATAACGTCTGGTTGTTGCACAGAATTGGAAAAAATTAACTATCTTGTGTATGGAGGGGCCATGAAACACTGCGGGAGATAGGATGTAAAGAATAAGTTCCAAACATATAGGAGAAATCAGGTCATGGAAAAAGTGGAACTCTGTGTGTGTGTGTGTGTGTGTGTGTGTGTGTGTGTGTGTGTGTAAAGCCCAGAGGTAGGTAAAGCCCAGAGATGTGTAATAACAAAACGTGCTTGGAAATGTGTAAGCAATGATTCTAATGGAGAAGTGACAGTGTTTTAGATTGAAAAAAAAGAGTGGAGACCAAGTCACAAAAAAAAATAACAGTAATAGCAAACATTTCTATTGTACTTACTGTGTGCCGGGCATTGTTTAAGGACTTTGCATTTGTTAAGTCCTATAATAACATTTGATGTGGTAAAAGGAAATTGAAATTTACACTGTAAATGACAATCAGAAAATCAATCAGGAAAGAGACTTGCTACCAGTGGTGCATTTTAGAAGGATCGCTTTGCTATCATTTGGAAGATGGGTTAGAGCAGGAAAGACTGGAAGAGAAGAAGCCAGTTTAGAGGTGTTTGCAAAAACCCATGAGGACATTCTGAAGGCCTTCTGAAAAAGAGAGAAAGGAGTGGGAAATTCAGTATTTAGGACTAGAATCCACAGACATGCTTAATAGCTGATTGGAGGTGCGATGGTGGGAGACGTGTCAAGCATAACACCCAATTTACCAGCTCCACGATCTTGGGTGGCTGCTTATGACATTACCAAAATTAATTGGTCTGGAGTGATGGGCCTCAGCACATTCAGTTGTAGTCTCTTTGTATTTGGAGTACCTGTGGGACCTCTCATAGTATAATATCAATATCACCTGACTATGACATCACCCTGTTTACCTGGCTGATTGGACCATGTCCCTTTCCACCCTAACCATTCTCAGCTCCCAATATTTTCAACTTGCTAGAAAACAACAAACTCTTCGGTAGTGGAAATTATTCTTTGATCAAGGGTATGAAAATAGTGCCTATACAACCATAAATAATAATAATAATAGGCATCTTGCCTACATTATCTCATTATATCCCCAGAGCAGCTCTACAAACTAGCTCTCAGCCTATTCAGCAAATGGAAACACTGAAGATCACAGAGGCTCTGTGTCTTGCCCTAGGGTACACTAACAGTATGTGACTTTACCTTTCTGCACTGTGGGAAACTTCTACCATGAGTTTCTATTGCTTTTATAGTGATTTTTAAACAAAAGTAAGCTATGTGCACAGCATAATTTGTGGGAAAACAGATGTCAAAGTAAGGGCTCTAAACTTGTTCTGTCAGGGCTTTGTCTCTCTGTGTGAGCAGGAGCCGTTGGGGGGAGGGGGCTCCTGAGCTAAATGCAGCCTGTTTCCATTAGTCTCATCAAGCTGTTTTTGTTGCAGTCTCTTCCAAGTTACCTCTGCTCCTGGAGAGAAGAAGGGAGAACCTGGAAATGGCTCCAGAAACCTGACTGGTTGATCAGAAGGAACGGAATGCTGCCAGGATTTCTGTCATCCTGCTTTGAGGTAGCCAAGCCATTTTCAATATGTTAGAAGCAGATCTTCTGAAGGCAAAGCCACTGAATCATGGCCCCCAGTAGAGGGTGAATCTCAAATCTTTCAATACTGTGGACTATTTAAAGAAATAAAAAATTTTATCAAAAAAGAGCTTTTAAAAGGTTTTTATATGCTCTGTTCCTCCTATATTTTATGCTAAATTTCTGTAATATACAAAAGCCATATTATCTGATGCAATTGGGGCTAGTAGTTGGTGAATCAAAAGAGTTGCTCGAGACACAAAAATCAATATATCTTAAGTATATCTTAAGCCACTTATTTTCTACACAGTTTTAAAATGTATGTTCATTCACCAATCTTCTGGTGTACGGCCAACAATTTTTCTTTCAGTATTTAACCACATCCTAGGGCTTGAAGTCATAAACCACAATTATAATACACCCCTATGATGTGCAGTTTTAGTTTAAGTAGAAGTTCTCAAGGACTCTTGCCAAGTAATTTGAGTGCCAGGTCTGTCCATGTTCAATTTTTCCCCAAACTTTTACAATTTTCTCACATGCTTAGTATTAAACTTAATTTTCATAGGAAAAATATACATCTTTCAAATTCACGTATTCCTTATGTTACATAGAACTGGCCAACAAAACCAAATTTGTGAACAAATATAACTGACTTTTGGCACATGCATAAACCAGCTGGCGGGGGTAAACACAGGTGGACCTTCAGGAAAATGAATCCTGCATACTACATATGCCTTAAATTTCAGTGTGTGTTTTATAAAATAATAAAAATTATCAGTTAGTCCAGAAAGTTATTTTCAGGTTCATAATCCATGATAATGTTTATGTCCAATGTAATACAATGTAATAATTAATGTTAGATATTCTTCATTTTTACAAAAGTACTGCAAAAGCCATCAGAAAGCAAAGTACAACACTTTACATATATAATTCTTCCCTGCCTAAGACCAGTACCTCCCCATTGCTCTTAGCATAAAGTCTAAAATTCCTAACATGATTTACAAAGCCCTTTACAATCTGTCCCCTGACTACCCAGGCTGCTCATACATGCACATACACACATACACAGAGGCAGGGGTTCTCCTATTAATTTCTTTGAAATAGACTTTTTTGAGTTATCCCTAGACCTTTATATATGTGATTTCTACCCATTTAGCTGGAAAGCTCCTGTAGAAACTAAATTGTTCAGCTTAGATATTACTTCCTCCAAGATACATACCCGAACACTCTTATCTTTGATTAGGTGCCCCTGCTATAAGCTTTCAAGTGATCCCATATTTCACCTATAACCCTATTATTTAAAACGGGCATTTACTTGCCTATATCCTCACTAGAATCCCCACAAGGGCCAGGACCATTATGTTCACAGCTCGTACCACAATGCCTGACACTGATCATTTGATTGATTACTTGGTTGATTAAGTCAATATATTAATTTTAAGAGGTAGAGCTGTTGGTTCAGGGTAGAGGGCCCTAGAATCAGGCTGCTCTGGTATCTACCACTAATGTCACCCATTATTTCTTTTGTTGAAATTATGTATGGTTGTTCTGTTCATGTATTTTTATATGTATATAAAATTTCATGTTACATACAGTTGCTTCATATTTTTCTTGGTAATTTTCTTAAAGTCACCGCAAATACTGAATTAGCAAATACTGAACCCTTGCTCCCAGGGGAAATGCAAAGTTTGGTTCCTGTGAACCTCTGTCACAACATTTTTGTCAATAGGTCAATATATAACTTTCTTCTGTGTGCATTTCTGGTTAAAGACTATTTATTATATATTATTGGTTCAATAACATTGAACTCTTGACTGACAGCACTCTAACTCATGCCTGGAAAAAGCTTATCTAACACTTGTATTTTCTCTGTAAGGCACATCACAGCCTTCTTGTGCTTGGGAACACAAGAAGCCACTTCAGCACTTATGCTTGAGAGCCATTTTAAACAACAAATCATTAACAGAAAAAGCACACAACTGTGAAAAAGATGGCACTAAATAGACCACAGAAAGGACACTTGTTTCCAGTATGAGAACTAAAACAAGAATGAAGAGCCTCATTTTGTTTGACATTGGCCAGGAACGTGCCATGTTGGGCAACTCAAAATTTTCACTGCTCTGTTCATTTTCATGAATACCCACAAAAGTGCCACAGGAATCACGAACACAATTTAGCAAATAAGCAAATTCAAAAAATATGGAACTTTAAAAGTAAGGATAAATGGCACATGCGTGTATGTGTATGCATATGTATAATATAAACATGTCCTTCTTTTGGTGTAAAAAAGATTAGATGAAAGGAATTATAGGGAAGCCAAATAATCCTGGACAAATTAGAAATGGTACCAAGAATTAAGACATTGCTGCTAGAGATCCTCCAAACTACACTGCATAATAATGGATTAGGCAAAAGGCCCAACAGGAAATTTGTCCACACAGCTTCATCTCCCTACCTCCTGTGGGAAGAAATCTCTGGGTGAACCTGTTAATCACAATAAGATGGTCTGTGGTAGGCAGAATAATGGCTGCTCAAATATGTTCATGTCGCAATCTCCAGAACCTGTGAATATATTACACGGAAAGCAGCATTTTGCAGATGTGACTGAGTATAAGAACTTTGAAATGGGGAGATTACCCTAGATTACCTAGGTGGGCCTAATCTAATTGCAAAATCAATTATATTTCCATATACTTACAGTGAACAATCCAAAAATGAAACCAATAGAGCTATTCCATTTACAATAGCATGAAAAGTAATAAAACACTTTGGAATCAATTTATACCCTAAAAACTACAAATCATTGTTCAAAGAAATTAAAGAAGATTGAATTAATGGGAAAATCTCATGTTCATGGATTGAAAATTTTAGTATTGTTAATATGGTAATGCTCCCCAAATGGATCTGCTCGATTTTAAAATTTATTATAATAATGGCAATCAAGACATTGTGGTACTGGCTTGAGAATATACCTATAGATCAATGACAAACAATTCAGAGTGCAGAAATACTCTCATTTCTCTGTGGCCAACTGATTTTCAACAAGAGCACCAAAACCATTTAATGAGAATAGTCTTTTCAATTTATGATGCTGGGACAACTGGATAGGAACAGGCAAAAGAACAAAGGTGGACCCTTACTTTACACCATTTTTTGTAATTAGCTAAAAGTGGATCAAAGACATAAATGTAAGAACTAAAATTATAAAACTCCTAAAAGAAACATAGGGATAAATTTTCATGACCTTGGATTCAGGAATGTTTTCTTCTTAAGCATGACAACAAAAGCATAAGCAAGAAAAGGAAAAGAATAGATAAATTGGTTTTCATCAAAATTAAAACTTTCATGCATTAAAGGACACTATCAAGAAAGCAAAAGACAGGCCAGGCGAGGTGGCTCACGCCTGTAATCCTAGCACTCTGAGAGGCTGAGGCAGGCAGATTGCTCGAGCTCAGGAGTTTGAAACCAACCTGAGCAAGAGCGAGACACCGTCTCTACTATAAATAGAAAGAAATTAATTGGCCAACTAATAAATACAGAAAAAATTAGCCGGGCATGGTGGCACATGCCTGTAGTCACAGCTACTCAGGAGGCTGAGGCAGTAGAATCACTTGAGCCCAGGAGTTTGAGGTTGCTGTGAGCTAGGCTGACGCCATGGCACTCACTCTAGCCTGGGCAACAAAGTGAGACTCTGTCTCAAAAAAATAAAGAAAGAAAGCAAAAGACAACTGACAAAATAGGGGAGAATATTTGCTAATCATATATCCAATAAGGATCTAGTAGCCTGAATATAAAAAGAACTCTTGACAAGTCAACAACAAAACACAAATGCAATTTTTAATATGTGCAAAGTATTTGACTAGTCATTTTTCTAAAGATATGAAAATGGCCAATAGCACATGAAAAGATGCTTGCCATCAACAGTCATTATCAAAATGCAAATCAACTATAATGGTATACAACTTTACACACACTAGGATGTCTGTAATATTTTTTTTTTTTGAGACAAAGTCTCGCTTTGTTGCCCAGGCTAGAGTGAGTGCCATGGCGTCAGCCTAGCTCACAGCAACCTCAAACTCCTGGGCTCAAGCAATCCTCCTGCCTCAGCCTCCCGAGTAGCTGGGACTACAGGCATGCGCCACCATGCCCGGCTAATTTTTTATATATATATTAGTTGGCCAATTAATTTCTTTCTATTTTTTTATAGTAGAGATGGAGTCTCGCTCAGGCTGGTTTTGAACTCCTGACCTTGAGCAATCCGCCCGTCTCGGCCTCCCAGAGTGCTAGGATTACAGGCATGAGCCACCGCGCCCGGCCTGCAATATTTTTTAATGGAAAATAAGTGTTGACAAGGACATGGAGAAATTGAAACCTTTATATATTGCTGGTAGGAATGTAAACTGGTGTAGCTGCTCTGGAAAAAAGTTTGGCAGTTCCTCAAAAAGTTAAATATGGAATTATTAACCCAGAAATTCCACTCCTATGTATATCCCAAAAGAACTGAAAGCAAGTGTTGAACAAAAATTTGTACAAAATGTTCATAGCAACAATATTCACAATATTCAAAAAATGGAAACATCCCAAATGTCCAGCAATAGAGGATTGGAAAAACAAAATTCAGTATGTCCTTATAATGAAATATTAGTGAGCCATAAAAAGGAATAATGTACTGATACACACTGCAACATAAATGGATCTTGAAAACATTATGCTAAGTGAAAGAAACCAGTCACAAAAGACCACGTTATATGATCCTATTTACATTAAACACCCAGAACAGGTACATTTTATAGAGACAGAAAGTAGGCCAGGCATGGTGGCTCATACCTGTAATCCTAGCACTCTGGGAGGCCGAGGTGGGAGGATTGCTTGAGCTCAGGAGTTCAAGACCAGCCTGAGCAAGATTGAGATGCCGTCTACACTAAAAATAGAAATAAATTAGTCAAACAACTCTAAAAATAGAAAAAATTAGCTGTGCATGGTGGCACATGTGCCTGTAGTCCCAGCTACTCAGGAGGCTAAGGCAAGAGGATCGCTTGAGCCCAGGAGTTTGAGGTTGCTGTGAGCTAAGCTGATGCCACGGCACTCTAGCCCTGACAACAGAGTAAGACTCTGTCTTGAAAAAAGAAGAGGAGAAAAAAAAAATAGAAAGTAGATTAGTGGTCGTTTAGGAATGGGGATGGGATAGCAGAATAGAAGAATGTAGCTAAAGGATAGGGACTCTCTTTGCTGTGATAAAAATATTCTAAAATTGACTATGGGGGTGGTTGCATATATCTATGAATACACCCAAGCCATTGAATTGTACACTTTAAATGGATAAATGTGTGGTATGTGAATTGTAGATCAAGAAAGCGGTTTTTAAAAAAAACAAAACAAAATTTCTGGATCCAAAATGGTGGCATAGAAGCAAGCTGGCTTCACTCCCCACCACAGAAAACAAAAAACAAATATACAGCACTGAGATTATCACCAACTGTATGTCAAAACTGAAATATGAAGATGAGAAAATTCCTGGGGCCACAGACAAGTGAAAAAATTTTGAGCAGATGGCAAGAGAATCAAACTTCCACATCCATGATACCCCTCCCTCATTCTGTCCAGCACGAAGCATGGGGAAAATCTTCCCCCAAATCACTGTTTCTACACAGGAAAAAGAGATAGAGGTGGACAACAAGCTTCCTCCCATCTTGGGTTCCCTAACAGGAGACCTGTCCCTGTCTTAGCTCACAGGAAACATTGTGAGTGCCTAAAGGGAGAAATATCCCTGAGAACAGGCAGAGACAAAGGGAAAGACATGACTATCAGCCCAGCCGTGGAAACTTTGCTGTGTCACTGGGCCAAAGGAGACACCCAATCAGAGTGGCTGTTTAGCAGCACCATGCTGTCGGAGGCTCGTTGCATAGGGCCTCTAGGTACCAACTCCTAAGCAGCCTTCCCACACTGCCTGGATATCCTTTTGGGACCTCCTTCATTCAGAAGAGGCAGCATCCAATCTCTTACTAGAGCTGAGGCAAACCTGGGCTTAATGCACTACCTAGAGCCAAAAAGGAGGCAGTGACCTAGTGGTAAAAAACCTCTGAGCAAATATATCCAATAAAAACCAAAACAGGCCACACGAAGACTGAAATTAATGACTATCACTTCAATGCAAAGACAGACACACATCCACAAAAAACCAACAGCAAACAGGGAACCATCATATCCCCAAATGGACAAAGCAAGGAACCAGTGACTGACCCAAAGGAGACAGCAATATGTGAGCTCTCTGACCAAGAATTCAAAACTGCAATTTTAAGGAAACTCAGTGATCTTCAAGATAACACAGAAAATCAATTCAGGCCGCGAGGGAGCCTGGGAAGAGGCGGGGAACAATATGGCGGATGGCGAGGAGCCAATGGCTGTGGATGGTGGGTGTGGGGACACTGGAGACTGGGAAGGTCGCTGGGACCATGTAAAGAAGTTCCTCGAGCGATCTGGACCCTTCACACACCCCGATTTCGAGCCCAGCACCGAATCTCTCCAGTTCTTGTTAGATACATGTAAAGTTCTAGTCATTGGAGCTGGCGGCTTAGGATGTGAGCTCCTGAAAAATCTGGCATTGTCTGGTTTTCGACAGATTCATGTTATAGACATGGACACTATAGATGTTTCCAATCTAAATAGGCAGTTTTTATTTAGGCCTAAAGATGTTGGAAGACCTAAGGCTGAAGTTGCTGCAGAATTTCTAAATGACAGAGTTCCTAATTGCAATGTAGTTCCACATTTCAACAAGATTCAGGATTTTAATGACACTTTCTATCGACAGTTTCATATTATTGTATGTGGGCTGGACTCCATCATAGCCCGAAGATGGATAAATGGCATGCTGATCTCCCTTCTGAATTATGAAGACGGTGTGTTAGATCCCAGCTCCATTGTTCCTTTGATAGATGGGGGGACAGAAGGTTTTAAAGGAAATGCCCGGGTGATCCTGCCTGGAATGACGGCTTGTGTGGAGTGCACGCTGGAGCTGTACCCGCCACAGGTTAATTTCCCCATGTGCACCATTGCTTCTATGCCCAGGCTCCCCGAGCACTGTATTGAGTACGTGAGGATGCTGCAGTGGCCCAAGGAACAGCCCTTTGGAGAAGGGGTTCCGTTAGATGGAGATGACCCCGAACACATTCAGTGGATTTTCCAGAACTCCCTGGAGAGAGCGTCACTGTATAATATCAGGGGTGTCACATACAGACTCACTCAAGGGGTAGTAAAACGAATCATTCCTGCTGTCGCTTCCACAAATGCAGTCATTGCAGCTGTGTGTGCCACTGAGGTTTTTAAAATAGCCACAAGTGCATACATTCCCCTTAACAATTACTTGGTGTTCAACGATGTAGATGGGCTGTACACTTACATGTTTGAAGCAGAGAGAAAGGAAAACTGCCCAGCTTGCAGCCAGCTTCCTCAGAATATTCAGTTTTCCCCGTCAGCCAAGCTACAGGAGGTTTTGGATTATCTGACCAACAGTGCTTCTCTGCAAATGAAATCTCCAGCCATCACAGCCACACTAGAGGGAAGAAATAGGACACTTTACTTACAGTCAGTAACTTCTATTGAAGAACGAACAAGACCAAATCTCTCAAAGACATTGAAAGAATTGGGGCTTGTTGACGGACAAGAGCTCGCGGTTGCTGATGTCACCACACCACAGACTGTCCTGTTCAAACTTCATTTTACTTCCTAAGGAAAATAAATCTGCATATAATAGAAAACTTATGGAAAAATATACTTCACAGATGCTAAGAAGTTTAATTGATGTCATTTTTAGCAGTAGTGTTGCTGGAATTTGACCTTTTTTGTATAACAAACCACTCTTTTTTAACTTTATAACTTTCCCTGGAAGACAGGATTTGGGGGTTGGTGCTCATCAGCATTTTCGTTAATAATATGGGAAGCGATGGCCGGAGAGAGAGATTATGAGAAAAGGTACTGCTTCTTTTGGAGGAGGCAGCCGTCCTCTTGTGTGAATTTTGTTATTATGGTCAAAGAGTGCATTCCTCAGCTTTCATTTGAGGCCCCACATATACAAAAGATGTCCCTTTAAAGAAAACAAGGAATTATGTTTTAAATGACATTAAATATTACAGCCTGACATCTGGAGTATATTGAACATAGGCTATATCTTGATTTAATATTCATTTAATTGTGGTTGTCCAAATGAATATTAATTATTGCAAAGTTTATCTTGTCCACAATAACTTGTAAAATGGTGTTATAGCTGAATAGCTGAGCATGGAAATGGGAAATATTTTCATGTGTTTATTTGCAGTGCCATAGAGGCCAGTATGCATAATATTAAAACCAAGACATGGCTGTTTAAAAATTTAATGTTTAAACAGTTATCACTGATGCTTTTGCACTATTTATTAATAAAATCATATATTGTCTAAAAAAAAAAAAAAAAAAAAAAGAAAATCAATTCAGAAATGTATCAGGTAAATTTAACAAAGAGATTGAAATTTTAAAAAATCAAACAGAAATCTTGAAAATGAGAAATACATTTGCTGAACTAAGCAATTAGACCCTCTCAACAGCATAATGGATCAAGTAGAGGAAAGAAACTGAGAGCAAAGAAAGCCTATTTGAAAAGACACATTCAGAGGAGAAAAAAGACAAAAGTATAAAAAGGAACAACGATCACTAACAAGATGTAGGAAATTACCTCAAAAGATCAAATCTAAGACATATTGGTATTCACGAGAGAGTTGAGCAAAGGAGCCAGGGATAGAAAGCTTATTCAAAGCAATATCAACAGAAAATTTCCCCAAATTTAAGAAAGATATAAATATCCAGACACAGATTCAACCCAAATAAGACTACTCCAAGACATATATTAACCAAACTCTCAAAGGTCAAGGATAAGGAGAAGATACTAAAAGCAGCAAGTGAAAACAATCAATAACATTTAAAGGTACCCAATTCATCTGGCAACAGATTTCTCAACAGACACCATACTGGCCAGGAGAAAGTAAGATGAAATTTTCAAAGTGTTGAAAGAAAAACCTGCCATCCAAAATACTGTAGCCAACAAAGTTATCCTTCAAATATGAAGGAGAGATAAAGACTTTCCCAAACAAAAGCTGAGAGAATTCATCACCACCAGACCAGTCTTACAAGAAATGCTAAAGAGAGTTCTTCAACCTGAGGGGGAAAAAACACTCATGAGAAAAAAGAAAAAAAAACAGTTGAAGGTATAAAACTCACTGGTAAAATTCAATACATGAACAAATTCAGAATACTCTACTACTGTAATTGTGGTGCATAGTCCACTCATAACTCCAGTATGAAGGCTGAAAGACAAATCTGTCAAAAACAATAATAGCTACAGCAACCTAAGAGATAGGGAATATAAAAATATGTAAATTGAGACAATTAAAAGTTAAAATATAGGAAGGGTGGAGTTAAAGTATAGAATGTTTTTGTTTTTTCTTTGTCTCTATTCTTTTTTTTTTTTTTGAGACAGAGTCTCACTTTGTTGCCCAGGCTAGAGTGAGTGCCATGGTGTCAGCCTAGCTCACAGCAACCTCAAACTCCTGGGCTCAAGCAATCCTTCTGCCTCAGCCTCCTGAGTAGCTGGACTACAGCATGCGCCACCATGCCGGTTAATTTTCTATATATTTTTTAGTGCCAATTAATTTCTTTCTATTTATAGTAGAGACAGGGTCTCGCTCTTGCTCAGTCTGGTTTCAAACTCCTGACCTCGAGCAATCTGCCCACCTCAGCCTCCCAGCGTGCTAGGATTACAGGCGTGAGCCACCTCGCCCGGCTGTTTCTATTCTTTTCTGTATGATCTAAGTTATCATCTCTTTAAAATAACTTGTTATAAGATGTTTTTTGTAAGTCTCATGGTAACCACAATGCAAAACCTATAATAGACTAACTAAAAATTAAATGCAACAAATTAAAACATACTACCCAAGAAAATCACTTAACCACAAAGGAAGACAGTAAGAAAAAAAGGAAGAAAGGGGTTACAAAATAACCAGAAAACCAGCAACAAAAATGACAGTAATACTTATGAATAACAACACTGAATGTAAAGGGAGTCACTTCTTCAATTAAAAGGTATAGAGTAGCTTAATGGATGAAGAAACAAGACCCAATTATATGCTATCTATAAGAAACCCACTTCACCTATAAAGACATATAGACTGAAAATAAAGGGGTGAAAAAATATATTCCATGTAACTGGAAACCAAAAAAGAGCAAGAGTAGCTATACTTATATCAGATAAAATAGGATACAAATCAAAGACTATAAACTAAGGAAAAAAAGTCAATTCAGCAAGACTATATAACAATTACAAATATCTATGCACCCAACACCAGAGCTTCCAAGTATATAAAGCAAACATTAATAACTCTAAAGGGAGAAAAAGACTGTAATACAACAGTATTGGAGACTTTAACACCCCACTCTCAGTAATGGAAAGAGGACAGATCATCCAGACAGAAAATCAACAAAGAATCATCTGAGTTAAACTACATGCTAGACCTATTAGGCCAACAGACATTTATAAAAACATTTTACCCAACTGCTGTAGAACAGACTTTCTTTTCATCAGCACATGTAACATTTTCCAGAGTAGACCATATCTTAAGCCACAAAACAAGTCTCAACAAATTCAAAAAATTAGAAAGTATATCAAGTATCTTTTTTGACCACAATGGAATAAAACTAAACATCAATAAGAAGAGGAATCGCAGAAGCTTCACAAATGCATGACAATTAAACAATATGCTCCTGAATGACCAATTGGTCAATGAAGAATTGAAGAAGGAAATGAAAAACTTTCTTGAAACAAATTAAATTGGAAATAAAACTTACCAAAATCAGTAGGCTATAGCAAAAGTAGTAGTAAGAGGGAAGTTTATAGCAATAAACACTGATATCAAAAAAGTAGAAAGACATTAAATAAACAACCTAATGATGCATGTACCTCAAGGAACTAGAAAGGCAAGAACAAACCAAACCCAAAATTAGTAGAAGGAAAGAAATAATAAAGATCAGAGCAGAAATAAATGAAATTGAGACTAAAAAAAATATGGAAGATCAACAAAACAAGAAGTTGGGTTTTTTTTCAACATATTATGGGGGTACAAATTTTAAGGTTTTGAATAATGCCCTTGCCCCCTCTCCCCCACAAGTCCGAGCTTCAAGTGTGACCATCCCCAAGACGGTGCACATCTCACTCATTATGTATGTATATACCTGCCCCCTCCTCCCCCCTTTCACCTACCCAAGAGCCAATTAATGTAATTCCTATGTGTCCACTTAGGTGCTGATCAGTTAATACCAATTTGCTGGTGAGTATATGTGGTGCTTATTTTTCCATTCTTGGGATACTTCACTTAGTAGTATGGGTTCCAGCTCTATCCAGGAAAATACAAGATGTGCTATATCACCATTGCTTCTTAGAGCTGAATAGTACTCCACGGTACCATTTGATCCAGCAATCCCACTACTGGGCATCTACCCAAAAGAACAAAGGACAATCTACAAAATAGACACCTGCACTTGAATGTTTATAGCAGCACGATTCACAATCGCAAAGCTGTGGAAACAACCCAAGTGCCCATCAATACATGAATGGATTAATAAGAAGTTGTTTTTTTAAAAAAGATAATATAGACAAACTTTTAGCTAGACTAAGGAAAAAAGAGATAAAAACCAAATAAATAAAATCAGAAACATAAAAGGAAACATAACAACTGATATCACTGAAATACAGGGAATTAGGAGGCACTATTATGAACAACTATATGCAAACAAATTAGAAAACTTAGAAAAAATGAATAAATTCCTGGACACATACAACCTACCAAGATTGAACCATGAAGCACTCAATAAATCAATCAGTAATGAGATCAAAGCCATAATAAAAAAGTTTCCCATCAAAGAAAAAGCCCAGGACCTGATGGTTTCATTCCTGAATTCTACCAAACATTTAAAGAAGAATTAATACCAATCCTACTCAAACTCTTCAAAAAATTGAAGAGGAAGAAATAACTCCAAATGGATTCTCTGTGGCTAGCATTACCCTAATACCAAAACCAGACAAGGACACAATAAAAAAAGAAAAGTACAGACCAATATCCCTGATGAACTAGATGGAAAAATCTTCAACAAAATACTAGCAAACCAAATTCAACAACATATTAAAAAGACCATTCACCATGATCAAGGGGAATTCATCCCAGAGATGCAAGGATGGTTCAACATATGCAAATCAACAAATGAAACATATCACATTAACATAACCAAGATCAAAAACATATGATAGTCTCAACAGATGCAGAAAAAGCATTCGATAAAATTCAACAACCCTTTATGAAAAAGAAAAACCCTCATCAAAATGGGTATAGAAGAAACATACTTCAAAATAATAAAGCCATATATGACACACCAACAGCTAACATCATACTAGACGGGGAAATATTGAAGATTTTCCCTCTAAGATCTGGAATAAGACAAGGATGTCCACTTGCACCGCTTTTATTCAACATTACTGGAAGTCCTGGCCAGAGCATTTAGGCAAGAGAAAGAAATAAAGAGTATCCAAATTGGGAAAAAAGTCAAATTATCCTTATTCTCAGACAATATGATTTTATACATAAAAAAACCTAAAGACTCTACCAAAAATCTGTTAGAGCTACACTTAATAGTTACAATGCACACTATCTGGGTGATGGACACATTTATAAATTTGACTCAAACTGTATAAAGTAATTTATGTAACCAAAACATTTGTACCCCCATAAAATTCTGAAATAAAAAAATAAATAAAGAAAAAAATTATATTAAAAAAACCTGTTAGAACTGAAAAACAAATTCAGCAAAGTATTCAGCAGGATACAAAATCAACATATAAAAATCAGTAGCACTTATATATATCAACAGTAAATAATCAGAAAAAGAAATCAAGAAAGCAATCTCATTTACAATAGCTACAAGAATATAAATTACCTAGGAATCAATTAACCAAAGAAGTGAAAGATCTACACAAGGAAAACTATGAAATACTGATGAAAGAAGTTGAGGACGGCCTGTGCTTGGGAGGCTCTTGCCTGCTGCCTGCGAATCCGTTGCTCTCTGATAGAGGCGTGTAAGTAGTGGCCGCAACCGCTGGGCTGGGATGATACATGCTCCCGGTGGAAGCAGGGGAGCCGAGCCCGAACCGTGGCCAGTACAGTGGTAGCAGTTGGACTGACCATTGCTGCAGCAGGATTTGCAGGCCATTATGTTTTGCAAGCCATGAAGCATACGGAGCTTCAAGTAAAACAAGTTTTTCAAAATCTACCAAAACCTGGCTTAGGTGGTGGCTATTGCAGAGGTGGGTTTGAACCCAAAATGACAAAACTGGAAGCAGCATTAATACTAGGTGTGAGCCCT